TTTCAATAATGAAATGTTATACTTAAGTTGACTTTAACAAACATTTTCTCTGGGGATCTAGGAGAGAAACAAAGTTAGAAAAAAGCATCTGAATAGCTACCGCCCTTAGGACCCTGGAGCATGGAAGGCATCTGTGGTGCAGCAGGGATGACACAAACCAGGGAGAGGGGTAGAGGCCCTCACCAAACACCTTCCTTAGGACCCGCCTTCCTGCCATGAACAGCTCCCTACCATCTGAGAAAATAAGGTAGGAAATCTTAAAGAGCATTGGGAAATGGTAGGAAGAGAACAGAGGCCAGACCGCAGCTGGGGATCTGTCAGAGCTGGACAGGACACTGGCATGCCAGGAAACTGAAAGGCCAAAGGACTGGAAAGTCTAGAAACCACTTACTAGCGAAAGCAGTTCTCCTAGAGTGACACAACAGCCTGCCCAGGGGCACTGGGAACAGGTACAGGCTTTCTCCCTTTCGTTATTTTCTAAAAAAAAAAAACCCAACCAACCAACCAACAGACAAAAACACAATTTACAAGGCCAAATAGATTATCTAGAGATACCATGCCACTTTGCATAAAGGAGTTAACATCCGCACAGTTTAGTGTCTGTGAATGCTGGGGGGTTGGAATCAATGTCCCATGAAGTGATGACTGTTTATAAAAGATGTAGAGAATCAAAATGACATGAAATGGTGTTGTCTGGGGGCACAATGGGGTCTCCTCAGAAAGCTTCTCCACAAAACTGACCTTCCAGCTGAATTCCAAGTAGAAAAGGGGCTCACACATAAGGCAATTAGAAGAATGAACAATGGAAGCAGAAGACAGATCCCTGGGCCCACACACTCTGGGCATTGTCAAGCAACCACATGCAAGCAGCACAATGGGGCACAGACAGCTAGCTAAGGGTACAGGATGGCTCTAGTAAGGCCCGCGGGGTGGGGGGTGGAGGGGCAAGACTTGGGAATCAGGAGAGTATGAAGTGTCAGTGTAATAGAGAGCGACTGGAAGATCCAAGTGACATAGATCTAGTTTTCTTTTGAAATGAAGGGTCTTGCTATGTGGCTCTGGCTAGTCTCAAATTTATGATCCTCCTGCCTTGCTTGGCCTGAGTGCTGGGATAATGGGCCTGTGCCATCACAATTGACCTCATCTGCATTCTAACAGTATCCTGGGGCTGCTGTGAGAGAGTATTTTAAGTGTATAGGGTGGGTGTGAAGTACTGGGAGGAGTGGATACTTAGAACATCTGGAGGTCACCCAGGTCAGACATCTGTTCTAGTAAACGTCAACCACACACATAAAATGTCCATCTCATTTCTCTCTCACCTCCATCTCTACTCTTTTTTGAATTTACACACTAAGCCTCTTTGAATCTTCTTCTCTCCATGTCCCTACACCCATCCTCAGGCCCCCACTCCCAGTTCAGGCCATCATCATTTCCAGTCTGGATTCCTGCCATGGCCTCCCAGAAGGAGGAATCTTACTCAAACTCTGTCATGGTCAAACACTTCAAGAGTCTGACACTCCTTGTAGGTCCCCTGCTTCACTTCTATCAGCCCACCCTGTCCCTCCAATATGCTTTTAGAGAAAGGCCTGGTGTGTGGTGAGCCCGGACTTAATGTGTGCTCCCGTGATCCCCTGTTTGTCGTTGCATTTGCCGCGACCATAGCTGATTTGACTGCTCTCCACTAGACCAAGCAGCAAATGCTGCATTCATGCGGAATCTTTAGTGCTCAACACTGGCCTCAGGACTCTCTCGTGTTCTTTGAAAAATAAACAGATCTACGGGGGAAAAAACCCCTGAAAACTCATGAGGAAGGTCTACCATTTAATAATTAGGCTCTGAAGTAGAAGGCCCAGAACAGCAGCTTGGATCTCAGCCTGCCACCTAGCCGCTGTGAACCCACTTTCTGGCTGGCAACCTCGGGTCAGCACACACTGTCTCCTCGTGCCAGGGAAAAGTTCCCGAGAGGAGTCACCGCAGGGCTTCGGGAGGTGGCATCTTGGCTCAGGACGCCCGTTCTGACACTGCTCGGCCATCCCACTTTCTCTGCCGCAGTTCAGGGACCCGGTAAGATCTGAAATCCCATCCTGGAACTTCTCTCTCCGCTCCCTTCACAACTGTCCCTCACCTGGAACCCTCTGGGACCCGGGACCTCAGCCTCCTCCAATGGCCGCGTCTTACATTTTCTTAGCTACATCTGTCTCCCAGAACCACTCCTTCACCATAGTGCCGGCTTCCGGGTGCCCTCTGGGGCTGCGACTACAGAAACCACTGTCGCTGCAGCTTCCCGGGCGCTTCTGGATTTAGGGCTCAGAGAGCAGCCGCTGTCCCTCGGCCACCATAGAGCGCCGCCCCACGTGCTGCTTCCTCTTCTGCCACGGGTCTGTCCAGAGAGGCGTCTCACGTGCTGCTTTGCGCCCTCTCGCTATATCGCCACCTGGCGGCTACTGCATGAAATGCACCTAGGACCCGCTAATACTAAAAAACAAAATCCTCTTTCTGGTGGGTTTCTCAAAACGAGGGTGGAGTACTGCACTTTCTTTATCTCAAGGCCAAAAATAAAAAATAACAGCAATGAAAAAAATCAATATTTTTTAATAAAGAGCATTGGAAACCAAAATCAACACGCCAAAGAAAAAAGACTGTTACTTCACTAAATCTAGACTGAAAATTCTAAGGTTAAACTTTTAAATGCCAAATTTAATCAAAGCACATTCAAACTCAGGA